CTGAAAGTTTCATTAAAATCCGACAATTATTTTTATTTTTGCAAGATTTTCAAAATTAATGACTGCCATTAAAAAAAAAACTGCACAAAAAATCCGCCATATTATTTAGTAGGATATTCGCTGATGAAGAAAAAAGAGGTTTTTCAATCAGAAGTTAGAATGCTCTAATAAAGACAGAAAATTTTTGAAAAATAATTAAAAATTACTTTGTTCTTTCCTCTTAATAAAAACCTAAATATTTAGTCTATAAAATTTTGTTTTCATCGAGTTTAAGGCCGTTATTATCCTGCGATGCTCATTTTCCAACGATCTCATGTTGGTACCTATTTAAAATAAATGGAGCGTCTACTCAAATATGGGTATCCACTAAAATAACGATTGAAATAATAATAATAATAATAAAAATAATAATAATAATAATAATAAGTCCCAGTTACAGAAACGATTGATATAATTCTAAAAAACATTTACAACAATCAATCTCTCCCTCCACTAAAAATTAAACCTATTATATTACGAAAATTACTTTTGACTTGTACCACTGAGATTTCTTTCTATGTCCATCAAAATGTCTACGTAAAACGTGATGGTGTTTCCATGGGTTCACTTCTGAGACCAACATTTAGTAACTTCTACATGGCTAACCTTGAAAATAAAATAGTTAATACACTAAAAACCCTCTATCTACCTAAGATATACAGATGATATTTTCATCTTAGTTTAAAACAAATTAAATACATGAACTACAATAAATAAAAAAAAAATTCTGTTCTTAAATTCAAATACAAATTCAACAGAATTCCTTTTCTTGATATATTGATGGACACCAATAATAATACATTTACTACTTCCCCATATAAAAAAAAATAACTAGCATAAACACGTGCACTCTTAACTATAAAAGTGAATGTCCTATTAAAAAATAGCTATTATGCAAAATTTAATCTTTCTATTTTATGTGTCGTGTCCCTTAAGGGCGTAAGCGATCATGGCCCTCCATCACATCCTGTCCCTTGTAGGTCTTAATAAGTTTTGTCTTTGTGTTATTTCTCCCAGACCCTGTTCCGCCATCCACTTACTCAAGCCCATTAAGTATGACACGCATTGCTTTCCCTCGTCCCTCTTTCCCTCTATCCTTCTTGTGAGTATCAGATTTTCCAAGCCTTCCTTTCTCATTACGTGTCTCAGAAATTTCAGCTGCATCTTCCTGATGTTAAGTATAAGTTTCCTCTTCGTTTCCATTGCCTCCAAAACCTCGTCGTTTCTCACATGTTCGGTCCATTCTATTCTTAGCATCTTTCTATAGAACCATATTTCTATTGCTTCGAGTCTCTTCTTCATTTTTGAGGAAATTGTCCAACATTAGCTGCCGTGCAGGAGGACAGATAACACGTAACAGTTCAGTACTCTTTTCTTTGTTTCCAATGAAATTTTCCTGTCTTGTAATAATCTGCTTAACTTTGGCGATCCTAATACGACTTCGGATCTCTGTCCACATTCCGTGATCTGTCAGAACACTTCCCAAATATTTCAATTTCTCTACCTGCTTCATTTTAGTGTCGTCTACTTATAAATTGCATGTCGGGCTCATCTTTTTGCTGTTGATCATGCATTCTGTCTTATAGTTTATGCTTAGTCCCTTCTTCTCGCCCTCTTTCGATGACTTCTGTGGGAGGTTTTGTAGTTGCCTTTCCGTTTCTGCTATCAGCACTGTGTCATTTGCATATCTTATGTTGTTAAGATTGTGGCAATCAATGATGAATCCTGGTAGGATTTCCAGTTCTTTCAGAATTGCCTCGTTGTATAAGTCGGGTGGGAAGACACATCCTGGCCTTACATCTCATTCTATTTTTGTATATCTGCTGAACTCACTTTTTATTCGTATGCAGGCGGTTGGCTGCCAGTAGAGGTTTTTTCTGTCTTTCCCAAATATGTCAAAGTTGCTGAGCAGCTCTAACAGATCTTTGTTGCATAGTCCATAAAACAGAGATGCACATTCTTCTGCATTCTTATTGCTCTTTCTGATATTCTGAGTATAAATATTGCCTTCCTTGTCCCGGTGTGTTTAACGTACCTGCACTGTTCTTGTCCTATATCTGGCCTGATTCTACTGCGCGCTCTATTTATCAGAATTGATGATGAGTTTTGTTATGTGGCTCATTAGGTTGATTGTTCGTTTGCGCCTGGTTTCTTAGGCTATGAAAATTGATTTTCTTAAATCTTCCGGTATATCACCACTGTTGTAGATTTCATTTATTATTTCTGTAATATTATCTGTGCCGAAATCATCGAAAGCTGTCAGCAATTCTATTACAGTTCCGTCTGGCCCTGCCGCCTTGTTTCTATTCAATTTGGTCAGTGCATCTTCCATTTCGGTTTTTAGTATTTCCGGTTCGTCAGTATTTCTGTGTATTGCCGGTTGTTCTCTTTCTTCGAGGAAGAGTTCTCTAATATATTCGTCCTATCTCTGGATTATTTTTCTTTCTCTAATATGAACGTTCCGTTCTTGAATTTTATGCAGAAACCGTGCAAAAGTTAATTCTTCTACGAAAAAACTTCTACACTTAATTAAAAAAACACTAAACAAACTCTCATTAATAATAACTTTCCTAATTACATTTTTGATGAACAAATTAGAGAAGCTATTAGAAATATTAATATAACTAAAAAAGAACACAATACTTCCTCAAATAACTCTAAACATAGCAAACAACTAAACTGCAATCAAATACACCCTAACTGCAAGGAAAATGAAAAATTCTTTAAAAATATCATAAGCACTAATATATCCCCCACTGATCCCATTAAAAAAATAAAACTAATCATATACTATACTAAATTTAATACAACCAACTTAATCATCCGCAATAACACTTCTCAGTCTAAATCTCATTTGGGAGATTGTATCTCTGACAAAAAATATATATATTGGTTTCTCAACAACATCCTCAAGGAGACTTACATTACATATATCGGATTCAAGTTCTATTGCACAACATTTAAAGGAACATTCCTGTCCACATTCAAAATTTAGAGAAATATTAAGTGACAATACAAGAATTCTCCAACATGAAAATAAATAAGCAAAAACTTCAAATTCTTGAGGCCCTCTATATAAGAAATTTACAACAAACGTTAAATAAGGTTATGAGCATACTAAAAATGTTTTAATATGTCTATAACAGCAATGTTTTTAAACACTTAAATTGTATGTTTTATAATTACAATTATATAAATTAAAGTTACCTCCCTTAGATAAAATATAATAGCTTTCACAGTTGATTTTTAATTTATAACGTTGCGCGTTCTTACGTGTTTATAATTATAACAGAGCGCGTTTCATGCGCATTTACAAAAACATCACAACTATCAATCGCATTATATTTTGACTTAGCAATTCACTTCTGAAGATGATCTTGGATGAGAGTGAAAGTACCTGGGAAAATAAATGAAATGAAAAAATATCTACAGCTCTTTCCTTAATGAATTTAATATCAACGTTAAGAAGTTGATTAAAAAAAAATAGATAGACATAATATATTCCACCAAACATACTTGAAGAAGATATGTTGCCTAAATATACATATTCTGATCAATCCAAATTCGTAAATAATTATATTGGATATACTACAACATATTTAACAAGAAGACTCACGTTAAATCTCTCTGACCATAGCTCAATTAGGTCTCATTTAAATACACAAACGGCTAAAGATATTACCGAAAGCACTTGGATATATAAAATATTCGGACAATTTTTATATAGTTCATATCCTGAAAAGAAAAAAAAATATGTGTGGGCTCATAAAAAAAACATTGTAAAAATTTAACCACAGCACCTCGTCAGTCGTTTTTAACGAAAGTTGCATAAAAGAGGGATTGCTTCCCAAATACACAATATATATATATATATATATATATATATATATATATATATATATATATAACTTTATATATAGTTACTTTCATGCTTTAACGCAATCTTCAGTCATGTGTGCCGTGTTTTGGTTCGAGTATTTATATATGCTGGTCAATAGTCAATTATGGGTAGTAAGGTCTTTTCTATTATCCTGAAGGATTGGCGCTAGCGGTTATAATTCAAATTATTCTAGAGGCTATTGAGTAGGAATAATTGTGTATTTGAATGCGGTTATTTGGAGCTATTTTTTTTGTGTTGTTAACTTTTACTCGTCATTTATTGTTGATTACTTAATTGTGTTTATTAAAGCATTCGTAGTTTGTTATTGTGTTTATTATTTACTTAATTTGTTTATTTAGTTTTTGTCTATTTTATATATTTATTTTTTTCTATGAGTTACTTTATTAGTTTAGTATTAGCATTGTTTAAATTATGCTACATTATCTGCATTGTATATAGTGTATATATTTGTTTTTATCATGATTGTATTTTACAAGGTATTCGCTTTTACTTTTCAATTTTTATGTAACGTAGTAAAAGTGATCGTTTGTCCCATGAAAAATGTCACCACTCTCCTCAGTATTCTTACAGATTTTACTATTTTCTGTAGGGTTTTAGTTCGTTCCTGGCTTCCATTTCTTTGTGTCTGTTCCAAATGTGCTAAATAAGGAAATAAATAACTTTTAGTTAAATTCCCAGATCAATTCTGTGGACAAGACAGATTGGTATAAAATGACAAGTGGAAAAAATCTTAGATTTTGCCGACGCGATTCGTCTTCCGACTTTTTCAAGGCAAAAATGAAATCAAAACCCAAATTTAAAAAGATAGACGCTTCTGCCTAAGCCTTTTTTTATGGTTAATGTAAAGGTAATTTACATTAACCAGAAAAAAGGCTAAGACAGAAGCGTCTATCTTTTTAAATTTGGATTTTTTAAATGTAACTATAACACCAAAAACATTTCTTTTTGCCTTGAAAAAGTCAGAAGGCGAAACGCGTCGGCAAAATCTAAGATTTTTTTTCAATTGTCATTTTATACCATATAATTTTACTTCAATTATCCTTAAAATTTCATCATTCAGTGATCTACAAATATAATCTATCTATCTATCTATCTATCTATCTATCTATATAGATAGATAGATAGATAGATTACAACGAAACAACCCACACTCAACAAAATTACATTTCAAACTAATCACAACACATTACATCGCATCTAGACATTGGTTCTGTTGTAATACTTTGATCTATCGTGTGATATGACACCCTAGAACCGCATCTTGAACTTATGATCTGCGTTTGCTATTCTGCCATCGTTATCGTCGCATAGAAAATTAAAATAACAAAATATCATCTTTGACGGTGGATATCTTTGTTTCATACCTGTATAACCACTCTTAAGTTAACCAACTTAATAAAAAATATTCAAATGTTTGACAATTTTTGTCTTTATTTTCATCAGAAATTAAAGCAAACATTCGAACATTAGAACGGCTTATGATCAGCCATAACAGGCATTCATTGTTATATTTAATAATATATTTTAAATAATAATCTGCTTTAATACAATATATATATATATATATATATATATATATATATATATATATATAGAGAGAGAGAGAGAGAGAGATAGATAGAGAGATAGATAGATAGATAGATAGATAGATAGATAGATATCGGATTATGATTGTGCTTGTCACTGCCTTCGTTAGGTTGCACGACAGTTATGTCCTGTCAATCCTTATAAATAATGGATTATTCTGTTTTGATCGCGTGGATAGAGGCGGTGAGACACTATTCGTTTTCAACGAGAAAAAGAAAGAAAGAAAGAAAAAAAAAAGAAAGAAGTGCTTAACGGCTGCTTCAGTGAAATGAAAAAAATTGTCAATTTCTTTGATTTCTACTTACTTAACTATCAGTCATATGAATGCTATTGCAATATTTTGTTAAAGTTGGTAAGCTCAAATATTCAACGATGCGATAGGGGAATTTCTACGGATAATTTATTGACGTAGGTCTCGCCATGAGCTTATTTAATCATTAACTGAAGAATTAAAATTCATCCTTTTATGGATAAAATGGGAGACGATGTCATCTGGGGTCAGGTGCATCGTGCATCTCATACGCGATAGTAGGGGGTCGTAATTTTTTTTTATTTATTTTCGTTTGAAGAGTGAGGCAGCCAAGATGACTTCGGAGTTACATTTACAACTTGAGAATACCCTGAATCACAGATCGCCCGAACGGACTGTGTTACTCGATAGAAAGGTACTTATAAGTTAGCCCTGGCAGGACGAAACGGTCGTGCGAAGTAACGGAGGGAGAGAAATGCTCAGTTATAATAGGATACAGATACATTGGTCCTTTGAGGGTTTTGATTGGTTTGGTTTGGTTTGGTTTCTTTTGTTTAACGGAATATCAACTTCAATGGGTTATTTAGTGCCGACAAAATTTTATATTGCTGGTAATATTTTGTTTTGTCAAAAATCTTTTTCTGGTAATATTTTTCTTTCAAAATTGTATTGCTGATAATAATTTTTTTCAAAAAAGTATTGCTGGTAATAGTTAACTATTTACCCATAGTTGGGACCCTAACAAGTGCTACCACCCCGGGTCAGGGTGGACCTGAGAACACCAGCAATTGAGAGATGGTTATATGCTCCTCAAAACCTCCTGATCAGAGGCCTTGCTGTCGGACGTAGTTTAACGTCTTAACCAGGACAATTTTGAAGGTTTTGAATAATAACTCCTAATTGCGATTAACAAGTTCTTTAATAGCAAGAAAACATTTAAATCTCGAACTGCAAAACATAAAAATAACAAAATATCAAACAGAAAAAAAAAGGGTTCTGGTTTCTTTAATTTCCAGTTCTATAAATTCTCCCCATTGAATTATTACTAATCTTCTTACCTTTGATGTTATCTTATAATCACTAAGTTTCGTCCGTTGCGCACTCCGGTCTTCTTCAGGTGTTTTTTCAATCCGGGTAACCTTCGGGGAATTTCGAATTGAACCCTTTATTTAATCTACAGAGATTTGAATGTTTTTTGTTTTTTTTATTTAGCTCTCCACGTCTAGCGATATTCCGTCTTGTTCTTATATCGCGCTGTTGCGTCACTGCTCGGTCCTGTTCCCCAATGAGAATTAAAATCGCAATTTCTATGTCCCCAAATTCAGGAACCAGTGCTTTTATCCACTAGGCTATTTCTTCATGAATTTGGCGATATTGTAATTGTGTGTTGCCAGCAATAATATTAACAAGGATGAAGAGAACAGTCCGAATGTATATAATGTAAATAATTTTAATGTTTCATTCCAGAAATTCAGGATGAAATTTTCAATAGTCCATAATTGTTAAGGTTGAAGTGATATTTTCAACCATAGTACAGCTTCGTTGTGCAAAATCTTTGCTTCGAAGTTTCACGTTAAATTACAAAACAAAAAAAAACAAATAAAAATATTATTACCTATACGAGAAGGAGAGTTGATAATCGTTAAACATTTGCTTGAAAGTTGTGAAAATTGTCAAAAGAGAAAGTAATAGTCGTGCTCAACGTCTAAAGATCACTGGGCTCAGCCTGAAAGGTGTTAGGAAAACAAAGGGGGAATTATGAAAGAACGGGGCAAAAATTGAGACTATACAGAGCCACAGCATGGATAAAATACCGTGGAGATTTCTAAATGGGTTTATTAAACTTGCTTTCACTTGATACCCAAATGGTGGCCATTAAATAATTTTAGTGTGAGGATTTATAATGATAATATACGGCCAATTGCTATGATTGGTAGAAATGAAATATCGCCGAAAAAGTCTGGGTTTAATACTACAAATTATATAAGTGACATATTATTAATAATACATCACTTATAGTGTTTAAAACCCTTTTTAATTCTTGCTTTAGGTATAATTTTTATTTAAAATCTGATATTTATTCGCCCATAAAGAAATGGATATATATATATATATATATATATATATATATATATATATATATATATATACCACCTTGATTTTATGCATCCGTGGTTTTGTCTTTCAGCTTGTGCTTTTAGTTTTGAGAAAAGCTCAACAAGGACGGGTGGTAAATAGTGTTTGTTTAATTTTGGATTAATAAACATTTAGAATAAAATTATATCTTTTACTGTGGTATGGGTTCTCGAATGCTAAAAAAGTAAGTATAATTAAATAAATTTTATTTAAAGTATGTAATATTAAAAACAAAACAAAAAAAAGAAACGGCGTAAACTGCTGCCTAACGAGCTTGTTTAACACAAGCTCGTATGCCGGAACAAGTACTGATAAGTACAGTAGTAAGAAAACAAATACTTAGAGATGCGACGAATAGGAAGTTGTGGAGAACCATGGACAGGAAGGATATATTTGTCGTGTCAGCAATCTACTTCACTCGAGATCTTTGTCAAATTAGCTACTCTCATTATCACTATTGCAATGGCAGGAATAGAACTTCAAATTTAAATCTTGATAGTGAAGACTTTTTTTCTTAGGCTTGTAAAATCTAAGATTTCGATTGTGTTTTAATATCGTTGTTAGGAAACCACTTGCCGTATTGACTTCACTAATTGTAGCCTTTTTTTTTTTTTTTTTTACTGATTTCAGTGGAAAACAAAAAAGAAAAAAAAAGGAGGGTTTACTGTTAGCGCGAAAAAGTGCGTGGTTGCTTTGGTGCGTACACATACCGTGTGTGTATTCAAGAAAATAAAGAGAGAGAGAGAGTGTGTGTGCGTGTGTGTGTGCGTGTGTGTGTGCGGTGGTGTGATAATCCTTTCTCTGACCGCACGTTTCCACTTCTTTTTCGTGTATCAGCCACACAAAAACTGCTTAGCACCACGCCTTGTTTTAAAGCGACAAGAAAATAATTCGCTTTCTATCTTTTTTCACAATCTCATTCTCTTTCTGCCTACATCTCACTCTTTCTCTTTTTTTACCGAATCCCCCTACCCCTACCCTCACTTCCTTTAACCTCAAACCCTCCTCTTCCTCCATCCACCAACAATATCAAACACTCAAACAAGCCACCTCTTCCTTCTCCTCCTGCACCCCCTTTCCTCCCCCCCCCTGTCTCTCCATCTCTCTTGGCAGCTTGGAAGTGAAATCAGCCGTCAGTGCAAGTGGAGGGCCCTCCCGTCTGTCAGTCCGCCCGTACGTCTGTGTGTCCAGCAAAAACACGACTGCTCTAAGCTAGTCGCTGCTTCAAGGAAAACGGATCGTTCCGTCAGCTCCCGGAACGCGTCCACGGTCCACTTGACTGACACAAGCTCGTTCTATACACACTCGGATATCCGAACGGAGACTATAAGGCAGTTGTGTTTCTCTATGTGATTCTTACAGAAAGATAAAGAAAAACTACATCGAACCACCGCATCGTTTGTTTGTTTGTTTTTCAGATTTTATTGAAGATATAACGAAAACTGCGAAACGATCTCACACGCTGGAAAATCGGCAAAAAAGTAACATAAAAAATAGATTTAAAGATTCGTTTCAAATCAGGTTGGATTATTTATAATGACCATAGATACAGACAACATCTTTTAGAAAAGAGGCTTTCAAACAGTCATTCTCATTCATTCCTAACTGAAGTCTTTTCAGAATGGAAATCATCGTTATTATTGATGGGACTTAATTTTTTATCAAGTGAAATGTGAAAAAAGTGGATTTATATTGTTTATTAAAGGAAGAATATTTTTATATTACAATTTCATTCTTTTTTCTTTAATACGCTTACACCAAATACGTACACAATAATTAATGTTGCTATGCGTCTGTATACACATCTCGCTACATACTTATATAAATAAATAAATATGTGTGTGAGTGTGTGAGTGTATGCATATTCGCGCAGAGATCACCTTTGTAAACACATTCTCTAGTATTTTGTAGCATTTTGCGCGTGCGCACAGCAATAAACCATTATCGCAACACACGTGAAATGTTTAAGTTTATCACAGTTTAAGTGCAAAATATTTACTTATATCTGCATTTGCACTCATACATACATTCAGATAGATAGATAGATAGATAGATAGATAGATAGATAGATAGATCACAACTACGGCTATCGACTTGTTAATGTCAACAGACAGAGGAATTTGAATTCTGCCAAGTTCCG